GCAAAAACTTTCACATCCTGTAGAATTTACTGGTAAGGTAGGAAGTGGAACAGAGAGAAGTGAAAATCCAGAGCTGCGAGGAGACGGAGAGATTGAGGGAGGAGCTAAGCTGTTAGTGAAGAGAGAGGAACTTCCATATTCAGCAGAGTTCAATACACAAAGCAGAAACATTCCCTTTATTCAACATGCTGTCATTGGACTATTATGTACTTTCTCTACTGTTACTATCCATTCTAACAGGTATGTGAGATCCTGCTGAGAAAGTTTCATTACTAACTTTTCTGGATGGGATTCATTTGTTGAGTCTTTTACAACATGAAATAACAGAGTTATCTCTTCCTTCAGGTGTCAGCTGTGAAGAACTCACTGCAGTCAGGAATGAAGAGTTCACTTTAGAAGGCAGCTCTGTTACTCTGTCCTACACATACTCTAAAAAAGCAACTGGTCAAGATCGATTCTTCTGGTATCTACAGCATCCAGGAAAACCACCAAAGTTCCTTATTTCACACTCAGGAACAGGACTACCAATATCAGATTCCGTCCCTAGACTATCTTTTAAAGTGAGTGATGATAAAACCCAAATGGATCTGCAGATCTCCTCTGCTGCAGTGACAGACTCTGCTGTGTACTACTGTGCTCTGCAGCCCACAGTGACAGGAAACACCAAAACTCTGTACAAAAACCTTTGGAGCAAAGACAACAGAATACTCCACAACGTCCACTAGAGGGAGTCACACACTGTTAAACTTTAAAAAGAGACTATATGTAGTTTTTCTACTAAAATGAATTCTTTTTTTATTGCCTGTGTGTGAAGGGGTTGTAATCTGACATTAAAATGATCCACTTGCCGGGTTAGGCTATTATCTTCCGAGCCGCTCGCTGTGTCTACTGACTTTGCACTCAGCAGCGACGACACTGCAACTTACGACATGGAGTCTGCTAACACTAAGAAACGACCTACTCCCAGCACAACAAAGACTCCAACACAAACTCCACATAAGGATAAAAAACTAAAAAAAGTTTTATCTGATGAAGCTTGTCAGGACAAATGTGAATCAGATCTAAACACGGATCAACATCAGCAGGGCTTTGAATCATGGAGAAACCTCCACTTTGTTTTGGGTATAAAAACAGACCCGGAGTTGGCTTTCATCCTATTGGACAGGTAAGCTAACATTACTACAAAGCATGTAAAACATATTTTGATTTTGTTCTTCAGTTGGCTCAAGTTAGATAGCGTTATCTCGCTGGCTAACGCCGAGCAGTTGCTAATGTTGTCTGGTGCAAAGTTAAATCGCTTTCACATTACTTCACCAACTAATGCAACATGTTACTTTCCTCTGTACCACTGTTATGTCAAAGTGTCAAAGCCTGCAAGAAATGATGTAATGGTAAAAAGCTAATGTGGAGCGATTTGTTTACCATCCCACAGTGATGCAGCCACGAGTAGCCAGCTAACGCTACAGTAGCTCGGACCTGCCGCTGCTTCATAACGTTCAATTTAGATTTATTGCCTTTTACTGATAGTCAGGTACACAGCTTCTCCACCTAACATGACCCACATAATATACAATACTGCAACAAAACGGGGACAACACCACAGAAGAAGAGCCATCCACTGACACTACAGTAAAGTTACTTAATGCGGTCTAACTGTTATAAAGTGTGACACAATCTCAATCCAATCCACTTTATTTATATAGCACAATTTAAAAAACAACAAGGTTACCAAAGTGCTTTACAGAGATGATATAGAATATGCTCATGATAAATAAAAACAAAACATATAACAACACTGACAGCGACAACGAAGACCACAGCAGCTCTCATGGTGAATTAAAAGCCGGGGAATAAAAGTATGTTTAAACGAGATTTAAAGGTGTGGAGGTTGGGCGCCACTTTAATGTGAGGAGGTAAGTCATTTCACAGTTTGGGGGCAACTGCTGAAGAAGAGCGATCGCCCCTGGTCTTCAGCCTGGTCCTGGGCACGTTCAGCCGCAGCTGATCAGCAGACCTCAGAGGTGCCAACCCATTAAGTGACTTAAAAACAAACATTAAAATCTTAAAATGTATTCTAAAATGTTCAGGAAGCCGGTGGAGCGAGGCCAGAATGGGGGTAATGTGTTCATGTTTCCGGGTTCCTGTTAAAAGACGAGCAGCTGCATTCCGGACTAACTGCAGGCGTGAGAGGGAGGTTTGGTTCACACCGATGTAAAGTGCATTACGGTAATCCAAACGGGTCGAGATAAAAGCATAAATCACATGCTCAAGAAGATCAAAAGATAAAACAGGTTTAATTTTAGATAAAAGCCTCAAATGATAAAAACTGGATTTAACCACAGTGTTTATCTGCTTGTCAAGTTTAAAATCACAGTCAATTTTGATGCCTAAATTGGTGACTACTGGCTTTACGGCAGGGAACCAAGGTTTATGGGAGTGGAGTCACAAACTCGGCTGGGTCCAAATACAATGACCTCAGTTTTGTCTTCATTTAAATTAAAAAAATTAAAAGACATCCAGGCCTTAATATCCATGAGACATTCAAGTATAGGATTCAGGGAACTGTTTGCATTTCTTCTCAGGGGCAAGTAGATTTGCGAGTCGTCCGAATAAAAGTGGTAGAAAATACCATATTTTTAAAAATGTTTCCAAGAGGGAGAATGTATAAGGAGAACAATAGTGGTCCAAGAACTGAGCCCTGAGGAACTCCACAGAGAAGGGGAGCGGTAGATGACGTGAAGTCACCAAGTTTTACATAAAAACATCGCTCAGATAAATACGATCTGAAACACTGCAGGGCAGTATCTCGGATGCCCACACAGTGCTCAAAGCGACAAATGAGAATGGCGTGATCAATTGTATCAAAAGCAGCAGTAAGGTCTAAAAGCACAAGAATAGCAGAGTCACCATGGTTTGTAGTTAGTAAAAGATCATTAAAAACTCTAAAAAAAAACTAAAGTGCAGTCTCTGTACTATGAAAAGCTTTAAAACCAGAAAAAATTCTAAAATACCATTTGTATCTAAAAAGGTAGGTAGTTGTGCAAATACAGTTTTTTCTAAGATTTTAGAAATAAAAGGAAGCTTTGATATCGGTCTGTAGTTAGCTAAAATTGTAATGTCCAAATTTAGCTTTTTCATTAGAGGTACAACAGTTGCTTCTTTGCAATAAGCTGGGACAATTCCTGAAGTCAGACTGCTGTTAATCATTTTTTGGACACTTGGCCCTATAGTGGTCCAGACCTCCTTAAAAAGGAGAAGGGGGACAATGTCTGTGGGACAGGCTGAGGGTTTGAGCTGTGAAATTATTTTATTGAGGCGAGGAAGCGACACAGGCTCAAACTGATCAAACATTGTTAAACAGGTCATCATTTCAGAGAGGTCGGATACAGGTGGGGAAATATGAGTTCTAATGGAGGTAATCTTGTCTAAAAAATATTGTATATTCTCACAGACTTCAAAATCAATTCAACTATCAGTTAGGTACAGAGCAATGTGTGAATGGAACTCGCTCCCAAATACTATCAAACAACAAAACACTCTGTATGGTTTAAAAACTTCACTTAATATTATAATATTTTTGAAGGTAATATATATAATATTACCTTCAAAGAAATTTAGATATTTAATATTAATTTAATTTAAGGAGATACTGTTGTAGGGTTCTTAGTTAGCTTATTCTTTGATATAGATCTATTCGGAGGAGCGACATTTTATTTTAATTATTTATTTATTTTATTATTTTTATTATTTTGGTGATCAATGGCATTAATTGTACAATATGTATTTAAATGTTGTGTAATATCCTGTGCGTATAGTGTGTAATGTGATGTAATAAATTGTATTGTCACATGGAAGATTGGAGGACCCCAGGAAGAATAGCTTTCAGCTTATGCTGAAGCTAATGGGGATCCAAATAAAACAAACAAACAACCAGACTTCAGAAGAAGCTTCCAAACAGGAGGATTGGGGTGAGTTTAAAATGGAATCAATGCTTTTAAAAAGGACACGTGGTTTGTTTAGATTTTGGATCATTTTTTCTTTTAGGTATCTATTTTTTTCAGTTTAACTATTTTTTGATACATTCTCCAGCTTTACTTTAAAATTTAAAGTAATAAAGAGAGACATGAAGCTTGTCTTTCTTCCACCGGCGCTCTGCTCTCCTGCACTCTCTCCTTGCTGCACGGGTGGTGTCATTAACCCACGGCTCAGATTTAGGTCTGGGGCGCAAAACTTTTAAAGGAGAAATAATGTCAAGAATGCTGGCATATGTGGAGAGAAAGGAAGAAGTTAATTTCTCTGTGTCAGCCAAGAGACCAGTGTCAGACTGACTTTGGAAAGCACAAGAAAACTGAGCAGCAGTGGTCGGCTTAAACACACGGCCTAGGCGTGCAGGAGCAGTTGGTTAAAGTTAAAATCAAATAAAACTGGCTTCCTGTGTCTGGATATTTAAAACGGGCAAACCATAAGATCTAACGTGTGCCCTTGTTCTTGTGTGGGTCCACTGACATATTGTAAAAAGTTAAAAGCATCAATCATATCCAAAAAATCTTTTGTGAGTGGTTTAGAAGGACAACAGACATGCACGTTACAGTCACCAACAATTAAAACTCTGTCATAGTCTGTCATGATACGGGCCAAGAAATCAGAAAACTCCTTGATAAAATATTTGTTGTATTACGGCAGGCGATATACCACCGCACACGGTACAGGATCCGAGCGGCCTAAGACAAACGAGCTTAGTTCAAATGAGGAAAAAACAGATGGAGCCAAAAGTTTACAATGTGAGCTGCTCTTTAAGACAGTTGCTATTCCTCCTCCACGTCCAGTGGTCCTTGGGGAATTTAAAAAAGTACAGTCAGGAGGTAAAAGCTCTGCGAAGGCATCGAACTCACCCACGGGGGCAATCCATGTTTCTGTTAAGAATAGTACATCCACAGCCTGTGTGATGAAGAAATCCTGAAGGATGAAGTTTTGTTCATTACCGACCTTGCATTTATCAGTGCACATTTGGTCGGTGAAATCGAGATGTCAGCCGAATGGGCTGACCGGCACAGCGGCCGAAGGTTGTTGGCAGTCTGCATCAACTCAGAGGGTGATGCCAGCCATGCCTTAATCCGGACTGGCCAGCCACTGCGCGTCTGTAACGGAGTAGACCTGTACCGGCCAATTTTGAGTGCAGTGGTAGTGTGAGGGGTGAGCACTTGGAGTGAGTGTGCATTTGGTGGTGTGGTTTTGCACTTGGGTTGATTGCATGAGTCCATAGCATAAAATTTCTGGCATAATTTATATTAAAATATTCTAACCAGCAGCAAATTAAAATTAAGATCTCTGCTATAAAGATGTTTTAATGTACATAAATGTTTTCTAAAATTGATGATCGGTGATTAAAGTCATGTTGTCAATTTGTGCCAACCAGCCCCATCATGGGGTTGGGTAGGGCCCCACATTTGCTCTTGAAACGGCCCCCCAGATCCTTGAGGCCACCACTGGTGCTACCATCCAAAGAGGAAGACTGGAGAGCTTTCTGTCATCACATCTAACAACTATGGGGACACCAACAATAACGAACAAGAGACTGAATGAACAGCAGAAACAGACTTCAGCTGTCTACGACCAAGAAAACAACAGCCACTTATGATACCGGACATGTGAGCATTTCACCAGGCGGCAGTAACAAAGCTGCGTTCAATAATGCCAATTTGATCTGGAACCAGAATCCAGTGAGTTCACTCAGGTAACTCAGCAAAGCCTGCAGCAAAGAAACAAACACTGGACGATTTCCCAGAGACAGGGACAAGGTCAAAAGGATTACAGAGAGGGTCATTGAACTCTTGGATGACCAGGCCACCGCTGTGGTAGAGAATACAGCTTTTCACAGTTTTATGGAGCTTTTGGAGTCACGGTACGCCCAACCACTGAACTAAGTTGAACTTTGGTAGACAGCCAATCTCTAAAAAGGGGATTCTCTGGCCCCGCCCACTGAAGTCCAACTCAACCAATGAGATTCTTTGCGTCTCCAGAGCAGAAATGTTTGAGGAACTAAAAGCACAATCAGCTTGATGTTGAGGAGAAGGGCTGTGCAGCAGAGAGGCTGTTTAGTTTCTTCATTCTACTGCAGTGGAAGAACATTGCTCATCTGCTGTCTGTCTGGCTTTAACAACTCCAAAGACATGTTGCTTTACCTCTTTTACTTTGCTCTCACTTCATAGGTGAGTGTTGGAGTGTTTGTGTCCACAGAGTAACACTGTACAGCTGCCATTTTCCACTGTCTTCTCCTCTCAGCCTCATGAACAATGTTAGTCTAATGGCTTCATTTGCTCTACTTTTTCCAGGACTAATAGCTGGAGACACAATCTCTCCTGTACGAGAGGAAGTCAGTGGAAGAGAAGGACAATCTGTCACACTCACATGCAACTATCAGACAACATACAATTATCCTGAACTTTACTGGTACAAACATCATTCTGATCTTCAGGCACCTCAGTTTATACTCTGGAAAGGAGCAAAATCACGGAGTGGTACTGAACATATTCCAGATAGAAGATATGAATCTGAAACATCAGCAACATCAACTACACTGACCATCAGAGATCTAACCCTGGCAGACACAGCTCTCTACTACTGTGCTCTACAAACACAGTGATACAAAGTGTAGAAGAGGCTGTACAAAAACCTGAACCCAGATATCTGACTACTCTTCAAAGAGGAGGGAAGTGGTATTCAAACCACAGCTTCATATCAGATGGATTCTGCTAATTCCTGTTTTATCAGAGTCACTGTGGTTCCAGCTGCTAATGAAACACTGGGGGAGGATTCACAGGAGCATTATGGGTAGTGGGGATCTGTAAGTTTAACCAGGTTTCGGGCTCCAACAGAAGTTGTGTACAGTTTGCAGATTGGAGGTTTCAGCCAGGTGTTTGTGTCCAGATTCCTTCAGGTGAATTTCCTGCAGATTCCTCCTTCAGTCTGACCTTCTTGGATGATGATGACTGCAGCATCACTGTCATTTCTAAAGCTTCCATCAGCCTGAATGGAAACAGAGCACAGCAAGAGGAGGAGCTCCACAACTGAATATGAAAGGCTTCATGTTGGAAGTGAAGAGCTGCTGTGTTCTCTCTATTGTTCATTCAGTACAAGTGGAAATGATGCAGCTCTGCTTAGTTTGGATGATCATCTTCATGTTTCACACTGGTGAGTGAAATTTAACAGGAGATTTTAAACATGACTCAGAAAACATTTCAGTTTGGCAAATACTCATTTGTTTTTCTCTCACTTTAAAGAAATATCAGAGTGAAATCTCTCTTTGTCTTTTTCAGGATCCTCTGAGGATTTAGTGAAACCATTTAAAGATGTAATGCTGGCTTTGGAAGGAGACTCTGTGACTGTCTCCTGCAACTATTCAGGATCTTTCGACTACTTCTTCTGGTATCAACAGAAGTCCAGTTCATCTCCACAGTTTTTCCTCTCAGATTATTCAAAGAAACCAGGTTTTTCTTTTGCACATGACAAAACAGCAAAGGAGTTTCATCTGCAGATCTCCTCTGCTGCAGTGACAGACTCTGCTGTGTACTACTGTGCTGTGACGCCCACAGTGACAGGAAACACCAAAACTCTGTACAAAAACCTTTGGAGCAAAGACAACAGAATACTCCACAACGTCCACTAGAGGGAGTCACACTCTGTTAAACTTCAGTGGTTTATGATCTGAATTTGTGGTGCTGGTGATTAAACAAAACAAAACAATGCAGCAGCAGCATGTGGAAGATACTACAAGTTCTGAAATGTTATTTTAAATCAATTCCGACAAAGGATGATAATGATGTTGGATGGTGTTTATATAAAGAGAGACTATCAGCAGCCTAATAGCTGAGAGTTCTCAACCAAGGAAGTCCTTTCTCTCCACTGCTGTTTGATCCTTAAGGAGTAAATAATTAAAATGTCCATTCTGTAAAAACACATGATGTCAAGGCTCTGACTCAGCATCTGTCAGATATACCGGGTCGTTGCACAAATTCTGTAAGCAGTCCCTGTGCCCCACCCCCATTACCCACTGCCCCCACCCCCCAAAACCCCCTCCAACACACATGTCATCCGAAATGTCAACACATTTCAACCTTTTTTCAACATTTACTTCTATGCAATGACTATAATTGCTAAATGCTTTCACCCCCACTACGATGCCCTTGGTCAAATATACAGGATCCAATCTGGATTAAAACATTTGTAAACCAATGATGGTCCATTAAATTGTTTACAGAACAGAACAGAATTTATGGATGACCAAGTAATGATCAAGCATGAAACAATAGAAGGAAAATTTGACATATGCAAACAATCTTCCTGTCTGGAGCTTAACATCTAGTTTACTCAATTTATTTTTGTAAAGACGTCTCATGATATGATTTGTCCGAAAATGTGACAAATGTAATAATGTGAATAGTACTGTTTGAGTAATGTATTGAATAAGTAATTAATGTGGCTGTCATGTGTAATTGAATAGTTGTATATCGTCTGTCTAAAGATTGACCTCAGTCAGGACCTTCACATGTTCTGTCAAGAGTCAACCAGTTTTACCTTATCAGCTTCTTGTTAACTGATGGAAATGATGTCATGTAGTGAATTACAGCACCACAGCAGAGACAAACTCACTATTTGTCAGAGTTGTGAGAGGAAGGAGGGAGGGATTAAGGGAGGAGCAAAACTGGGACTCAAGGTCAGAAAAGACAACAGATGATGAAGAGGAAGGGCCAATGATGTGAAGGCCCAGATCCATCAGAGTATCAATGTTCTTCCTCTCACTGCAGACATGAACCACTGGCTGAGAAACATCCTGATTCTGACTCTCTGGCTAGGTAACTCTTTAAACCTACTGATTGTTCTCCTTTAATCAATCATCTTTATTGATCCATCTCTTCCTCTGCATGTTCTCTTCTTCCCCAGAGTGTAAAGGAGAAGACAGAGTGACCCAGCCAGCAGGAGATGTCATTGCTGCTGAAGGAGACACAGTTACACTTGGCTGTACTTTTGAGACGAGTAGAACAGGTCCAACTTTGTTCTGGTACAAACAGGATGGAAACAACAGCCCCAAATTCATGTTGAGCCGCATGCAAGGGGTCGAAGTAAAAACAGAGGCCGAGTTTAAGGAGAGGTTTTCATCCACACTGGATTCCACCTCAAGATCAGTTCCTCTGAAGATCCAGAAGCTTCAGCTGTCTGACTCTGCTGTATACTACTGTGCTCTGCAGCCCACAGTGACAGGAAACACCAAAACTCTGTACAAAAACCTTTGGAGCAAAGACAACAGAATACTCCACAACGTCCACTAGAGGGAGTCACACACTGTTAAACTTCATATAAAATGAGGTGTAAATATAAAAGAGAGTCTATCACACTGAAAATCCTCTGACAGCCAAAAACAGCTGAGAGTCCTCCACCAAGGGAGTCCTATCTCTCCACTGCTGTTTGATCCTTCAGGAGAAAATGACTCAAATGTCCATTCTTCAAAAACACATGATGTCAAGGCTCTGACTCTGCATCTGTCAGATAAACAGGATCCAGTCTGGAGATTAAAACCTTTGTAAAACAATCAGGGTCTGTGAAACAGTTTACAGAAGAGATTTTATGGATGACCAAGTAATGATCGACCATGAAAGTATAAAAACAAGGCAAGGCAGCTTTATTTACTCAGCACATATTGATGCTGTCTTTTCTGTTTTACCTAAGAAAGCTATAAATAAGCTACAAAGCATTCAGAATGCAGCAGTACATGTACTAAGATCAGAAGGAGAGCACACATATCACCTAAAGTCCCTGCATTGGCTGCCTGTCAGTTTTAGAATAGATTTTAAGCTCTTTTTGTTGGTTTTATTAGCGCCTGAAAACTTGTCAGATGTGCTTTTAATGTGTCCTCCCTCTAGATCTCTTAGGTTCTCTGGCACTGGTCTTTTAGTTGTTACCCGAGTGAGGACAAAGAACTACGGGGAGGCGGCCTTTAGTGTGCAGCCTGCCAGAGGAGCTGAGGGCATCACAATCTGTTAACACCTTTGAGTCTGATTTGATTTTATTCTTTGACAGGTTTTTCTTTGGGATCGTCAATATGAAGGTTAAAGTCACCAGTTATGAGACAGAAAAAATACTAACACCTGTTTAAATAACAGAGCAAAGAAAGAAAGAAAGAAAGAAAGAAGACC